GCTTTCTGTTTTGAAAATCTCTCTTTACATGCGTCATATACATTTGAAGTCAGTCGTGCCTCCAATGGTTCTCATGTGTCGCCTCGTGAACAATCGTGATGCAAGTCTGAACATGTGCAAGCATGAGCTCGGAGTTTCTTCTCTGCAGACTTTGTGATTGGTTCAATGCTGATTTTTGTCATTTTCTGAGCTTGACACCCTCTGTCCTCATTCACTTTCACTGTATTAAAAAGAGCAGCCAGGACATCTCCTGTTGTGTGTCCACAGATTAAAATAAAGTTGAGTTTAAAGTTTTTTGACATAAAGAACTATTCCTTCAATTTAAGAGTACAATGTGCTGTATATGATGTGTATATCAGATTTTATGAAGACTAGTTTTTTATGACTAGTATTTATGACCTAGTGCAAACATATTTATCCTTAGATTTCCAATAGCATGCTCAGGCTTCCTGCAGGCCTGCAGAGATCTGGTATCAGGCTACAGCAATTTAAGTCTCAGTTGTCATACATCCCAGTCTACATTGACACCGGATCAGTCCCAAATGAGAAACGATTTTCTAAGCTGTAAATGAATGATGCACCTTAGGAGCTCTCATATAACCTTGATGTGTTAAGATCATCTGGGAGAGAGATTTTATGGCTAAACTTGGCGAGTCAGAAAATATTGCAACCATACAAAATGCATTTATAGGAATAGAATACAATGAACACTGACTGCATTACAACGAACCCTTGAAATGCAATGAGTGATATTTAAGAGATAATATACAGTCAGCCGCTCATTATTGCGACTCTTAGACAATCTATATGGGAGGGATGGGGGGCATTAACTATACATATATAAATAACTAACTGAACATGAAATATTAGGGAAGAATTTGATAATTATATTTAGCTTTCAGTTAAGCCTAAAGCTTCAGATAATAAAAATAGCCTATTACATCTATTGTGAAAAAATAGACTATTTAGAATAATAATAAAAAAAATGGCAACAACATGAACACTGCAACGATATAACAATAGTAATTTATTATACTATAAATCACTTTATGCAGTGCTGGTATGGTGCGATTGACCAATCAGAATCAAGTATTCCGAAGACTTGCGTATTAAAACTGATTTTTATATCAAGGGAGGGGAAAATACGCGTTTTTGTCAACACTTTTGTACGCTGGCAAAACTGTAATGAGAAATTAAATGTCAAAATGTGAAGCAGCATATTACTAAAATAGTTGAATTCGTTATTTAGCTACTTTTAATGCACAGAACTTTAACCGCTGACAGTAAATATTTGGGAAACGGTTCCCTTAAGAAATAACGTCTGCACAAAACATACTTTTATCAAGGATGTGAGTCTTTGTAGTGCGTCTGCAGTGCACTGGTCTGCAGCGCTGTATGGGGTAACGTTACAGGATGTATGTGATGGCGTGTAATGCATATAACACGCTACACAAATCACACGAGCAGTCTGATCTACCGCACTGTTTGTTCAAATGACAAGTACAACAGTTGATCAGAGAAAAAAGGACAAGCTTGCAAAGAAACAGCCTGTTAAAGGTCTAAATTGTGTGTGTGAACCGAAGAAATACCTCTTCACTGAGTCGCACGATCTGATTCATTTTTTCTTCATCTTGTAGGAGCTCCCGTAGTTCACTGCTATTGAGGACCCGGTACCCATCTGGGTAAGAGTTCACGTCCCTTTTCTGGGACATTCCGGTCCCTGTGAGGCGCACTAAACAACTCCGTTTGCCAGCCATTTAACTTCCATTTTGCTCACGCTCGGCGCCAAATGTACGTGAACACGGGAGTGGTGCCGGAGAAGCTCTCATCGGCATGAAGGCGCACCACTGACTGTTTGCGAAGACAATGCACGCAGAGACTATGGCACACGTTACAGATTCCTCCAGTTCCGCATTCCACCGCCTGGAGGCGCCACGCCGCAGCACCGACAACGTGCCATACATAACATACAAAATACAGAAATCAGTTACATACGGTCAGTGCTGGCTGGGGGTAACGCAGGTAACACTTTACTTGAAGGGGTGTGCATAAGACTGACATGACACCTTCATAATCATGACATGTAACATGTCATGACTATGAAGGAGGCTTTATGCATGCTTATTCGCTCAGTTATGTCATTTTTAATGCAAATATGACATTATTTGACCTAACCCTACCCCTACCCTTACCCCTAACCATAGCCCATAACAAAGACATCTCAAACAATGTCATATTTGCATTAAAAATGACATAACTGAGCGAATGACACTTAATGACAGTTGTCATAAACATGCATAAAAAACCTTCATATTCATGACATGTGTCATGTCATGATTATGAAGGTGTCATGTCAGTCTTATGCACACCCCTTCAAGTAAACTATAACCGTAACGCATTACAAGTAACGCGTGTTTACGTGATCAGATGACTTTTTTCAAGTAACTAGTAAAGTCATACATTACTTTTTAATTTAGAAGATAAAATATCTGAGTTACTTTTTCAAATAAGTAACGCCAGTTACTTTGTTTCCCATTTATTGAATACAATACAGCTCTCCTGTCCCCATGTTGAGAGAAATCAGGAGTGCAGAGGCGTTGTGTGCGCTGTGTGAACAACATGATGTTACTGTAGTTCTAGACTAAATTTCAACATGTAGCGTACTTATTCGTCTCACTCGCACAAAAACAGATTCAGTATTTCTCAAAATGAAGAAAAACAGTCAAATGCAAACTCAGGACATGACGCAAACATGTTAAATAACACAAATATCCTTTATGTATTTAATTCCATTTTATTAACCAGTATCTTTGCTGCTGCCCTTCAATGATCTATCCATACGAATAAGCAAAAATGACTTTAGATAAACATAACTTTTTGTGAAAAAATTAGGCCAAGCCAGACGAGAAAAAGTAACATATTGCATTACTTTCCATAACTAAGTAATACAATTAGTTACTTGTTTTAGGAAGCAACGCAATATTGTAATTCATTACTTTTAAAAGTAACTCTCCATTAATGTCTTTGCTGCTGACCTTCGACGATCAGCCATAATAATAAGCAAAAATGACTTCTTATAAACATCATTTGTGTTTCTTTTTTATTCTGAAGAGAGAAAAATGAGGCCAAGGCGGATAAGAAAAAGTAACGCAAAAGTAATGTAGTGCATTACGTTTGTTACGGGGCTGACGAGACGTGAGGATCCATGTGCAAAGCTTTATTCTGGAGAAGTGGTCAGAAACGGGCATAAATCAAACATTGGCAAACAGGTATATTGAGGGCAAGACAGCAGAGTAATCCAAAACGGGCGTGGTCGATAAGCGGCTAACAATATCCAGAGGGCTTGACACAAGGGGTTATCCAATAACACGCGCTAGAGTCCAGGCAGGGTGCAAACACAGTCCGAAACAGCAGGCAAAGGGTTAACTCAAGATAAACAGACAATAATCAGGTAACACGGGAAAGCAGGCAAGACAAGACTATGACTAGACTATGGAAACTAGAACTAAATACTTAAACAAGGACAGGGAACTGGCTCCGTAAAGTAGCTATTGCTAGGTGAGTGATATGCGCTTACAATACTCGGCAGTGAATGGTTGTTTGAGTGAGTGTTATATAGTGAATGTGTGATTGGTCACTGCTGTGTGCAATCAGTGCAATGGATGATGGGATATGTAGTCCGGGATGACATACAACAGTTTGTGTAGTGCGAGAGTCAATGTAATGGAAGGGTGACCTCTGGTGGTGATTGAACGGAAGTCCATGGACAGGATTCGTGACAACTTTCCATAAAAAGTAACAAAGTAACATAATTAGTTACTTTTTAGAAATTAACACAATATTGTAAATGCATTACTTTTAAAAGTAACTTTCCCCAACGCTGCATAAGGTGGAGATATTATACGATTGTTTATACAAAGAATAAATTACAATAAGCCGAGTTCTTTATCTTGTGCAAAAAGACAAATATATTATGTATATATTGTTTATAAGCTTAACATAAATAGAATTTTGAGTTTTTCGAAAGAATTTAAGAATTATCTTTAGCTTTTAGCATAGCCTAAGCTTCAGCTATACGAAAAATAGTAGGCTACAATACATGTATTAAGAAAAAAATATATAAAATATAAAAAAACAATAGCAACAATATGAACACTGCAACAATATCAATTTCTATATAATTAATCTGCAGCTTTAAGAAGTATGCTGCTGTCCACACAATAGTGAAATATAATTGGCATATTATTTTTATTATACTCTTTTGTTAACTTACATTTTTTTTATTTTTTTTATTAAGAAGTAGTAGAAGAAGAAGGAATTATTGGACATAAATCGGAATTGTGTAAGTTAAATTTTCCAAACACAAGCCTGAAACCTGCAAAGAACATGTCTGACAAAACATTTCAGTTCAAAAATTAAAAAGAGGAAATAAAAAGAAATTATCTTTTGCTTATAGATTTTGCTTACAACTAAGCCTATATTTACGGCTATTTAATTTTTCAGAGTTGCTCTTGTTAACTAAACTCAAGTATTAAAAATCATTTTCATAAATTAAAATTAAGCTTAAAAATCAAAAGAAAATGTCGAAATTTTTACTTGCCAACTAAATGAAATAAAATAGGCAGAGCTAACAGAGCTAATCATTCATTTAACTTTAACTTAAGTTAACAAACATTTCATATCGTATATTAATTTCCTATTATTAATATCTTCAGTTTCAAAGGGCTGGGTTTTACACAAGTAAAATGATGTAATTATGGTCATTTTCGCAAAATAAACCCAGAGTATGTAGAAAATGTTTTTTTCTAAAAAATATTTGCTAAATTAATAAATTATAAAGTATTATCTAACAACTTTTTATTGTATGTTTAATTTTTCAATATATATTTCTTCTTTCTTTCAATGTGCTACAGCACGGGCTAAAATGACAACGCGCCTTAATAAACTACAAATCCCGGGATGCAACAGGAAAGTTGTAGTCGTGTAGCGCGATCCTATTGGTGGATTTCTCTGACGACTTTATTCTGTGACAGCACGGGAAAACATGGCGTCGTTTGCGGGAGATCGCTGGAGGGAAGCGCTGAAGAACCACGATGTTTTCAGTAAATTACAAGAGAGGCTTAATTTAGAGCCTCAGGGGACAAGCAAAAGAATAGCCAAGAACCTTACGTTTTGTCTGAACGGTGACCTATTCATATGGGACAGTGTTGAGAGTGTGTTTTACACCACAAACCTGCGACAGCTGAACACCGACAGCGACACAGACACTTCTAAATACCAGGTCAGTGCCTTTGAATAGCGTCTGTCTGGTATGTTTATTTCACTGACTACATGTAAATAGCGAGCGATGTCCCGCAACTCTCCGCAGACTCTGCTGTGCATCAACCCGCCGCTGTTTGAGGTGTGTCAGGTGCTCGTCAGCCCCGCGCAGTATCACGTGGCTCTCATCGGTCAGCGGGGAGCGACTATACTGGAGCTGCCTCAGCGCTGGGGCAAGAGGTCAGAGTTCGAGGGTGGCCGCGTCCAGATCAACTGCAAGTGAGTACGCTACGCTTCAGCTTTAGGAGAGCGGCGTTATTCCACCGCAGTGCCCTTCAGGGTCTTTAGTGTTATGTGTTTCCTTTTTTGCAGGACGATTCCTGTGGCTGAACGTTTCTTCACTAGTTCTCCCTCTGTGACTCTCCGACAGGCTGCCTGGTATCCCAGCGAAACTGAGGAGCCTCATCTGGTTTTTCTGACCTCAGATAACACCATCAGGTTGGTATCTGAAATAAATGACTGGCAGAGGTGTTAAAGGGATAGTTCCCCAAAAAATGAAAATCCTGTCATCATTTACTCACCCTCGTGTCTTTCCAAATCAATAAGTCTTTGGTTAATCTTTGAAACACAAATTAAGATATTTGTAATGAAACCCGAGAGGTTTCTGTTCCTCCATTGAAAGTCCAGGCAACCAAAACTTAAAGGGGTCATATGATGCTTTTTTAAAGATCATTGTTTTGTGTATTTGGTGTAACAGAATATGTTGACATGCTTTAATGTTCAAAAAACACATTATTTTTCAAATACTGTACATTATTGTAGGTCCTCTATGCCCCGCCTCTCTCAAACGCTTCGTTTTCTACAAAGTCCCTCCTTCCGACAAGCGCAGTCTGCTCTGATTGGCCAGCTGACCCAGTGCATTGTGATTGGCCGAACACCGCAAGCACTCGTCGGATATGTAAAAAGGAAAACTTGAAATCGCATCATATGACCCCTTTAAAAGATCCAACGAAGGTTATAAAGGCATCATAAAACAAATCCATAGTAATCGAACAGTTTAATCTACCACTTTATATGATGAACAGATTCAATTTAAGGCACATTAAAAGTTATTTCCATATTTTAGGAAAGCTATATTTGTTTTTTATTATTATTATTTTTTTTGTAAAATTAATTTAAAAGTATTGAAGATCTGTTAGAAGTTGCATTTCAAACTTTGTAGTGTTGCTAATACAGCGTGTGCTCCCTAGACAGTTACATTTAGAGAAGATATATGTATTGCGTTCTCTTCGATTTGTCTTTACTTGGTGTGTAATGTCTTAATTTGACCTTCTTAAAACCTGCAGAAACCATTTATAACTTTTTTGTATATCTTAATTTGTGTCTCAAATTTTAAAGTCTTATAGGTTTGGAACGACATAAGGTTGTGTAAACGATGACAATGTTTTTAAGTGAAATAGCTCTTTAAAGATCTCTCTCTCTCTGAACAGTAGAATTACTGTTGCTTGTACAAAGAATGTATGTTTTCCACAGACTTTACAATCTTAAGGAGCCACAGTCCCCTGCCAAAGTTTTATCTGTGTCTCAGGTAGACGAGGAAAGCATTGTTCATACAAGAGGGTAAGTTTGACTGTTTTCTTCCAAACGATCATTTAATTTTACTAGATGGAATTGCTAGAAGCTATCGGTAATCTGCTTGGATCTAAAAATGAGGTGTTAAGAAATAAATTAACAGATATATTATGGACAAAATAACTGTGTTGTTGTGATGTTGAATTAAAGAAGTCACGCTCTTTTATAGACGCTCCTATGCAGCATCTCTGGGGGAGACGGCTGTGGCGTTTGACTTCGGACCACTGGCGGATTCTCCTCATCTGAGCGGTCTGCGTATAAAGGCAGAGCTGCTGGTGTATCCACTGTACATTCTGTATGGGAATGGAGAGACGTTTCTGAGCTATATTTCTCTCACACACCGGTAACAAACACATGTCTATGACCCTGTCATGATGCGATGACTATACTCCGTATTAACAAAAAAGTGAAAATCTAAATGATATAAATCCATACAACTGCCGTACAGTATTATAATCGATATAGGTGAATCTCAATTCAGGTCAAAAACAAAAGAAGGAAATGTTATTTTATTTTTTTTAGTGTTGATATTGTTAACTGAAACTTTACATTTTTATTTTTCATTAACTAAAATAAAGCAGAAATAAAATTACATATATTAGGTGAAAAATGTCAACTTAAATGGAAATGAGAAATTTTGCTTTGGCAACTAACTGAAATAAAATAATTTAAAATTACTATATAAAACTGAAATAAATATATATTAAAGCTAATTAGAAATAGAAAAAAAAACCTAATAAAAATGGCAAGTTCAAAGAAAATGATTAAAACGGAATTTGAAAACCAAAAATATAAAAATAAAAGCTAATTCCAAGTATTTAATGTACTAAAAGTGTAAAAATAATAGTATAAATAATCTTAATATAAATCCTTTTTTTTTTTTGCATTTTGACATTGTTATGACAATTATGGAAGCTTCCCCGAGTTTTGCATTAGTGATGTGAAAAAAACAAATCATATGATGTACATATTCAAAATAAAATGGAAACATATTTTGAATATATACATTATAGTATTTATTGTACTGTCTTTAAGACTAATAGGAATAAAAAAAAATAGTAAATTGTCTGGTCACGTTATGGTAATGAGTAAAATGTGTAATAATGTATATAAATGTATAATGAATATTTTTCCTGATGTTAACACAGATGCCTCATTTGCTTTTAATTTAATTAAAAAAATAATAATTTAAGTTTCTGTACTTATTTGCAATGTTCCCTCTAATTGTTTTTCTTGCTGAGCAAAACTTTTTCTCTTTTGGGCGGACATTTCGGCCACCTGAGCAAAAATATTCTTTATACCAGACCTGTACAGCGCGCACACAAAAAGTGTAACTTTTAACTTTAATGTGCTATTTATATTTGATTTGACCCTTAATTTTAGGTTACATGAGAAAAAAATTTTTACAGTGCTGTTACAGTGCTGTTACCAAGAAATACAAAAAAAAACCACGCAGAACAGTTCACTTCTTTATAATAATATAATATGAAAAAATTGAGTTATTGCTCATGAATTCCCTTTTTGAGGTCAATTATTTATTAGGCTTATAATTATATAATATAATATAGTATAATATAATATTAAAAAAAAACATTTTCAATAAATATTTTCAAGAACGTGAACGTGAACTCTTACATAGTTATCTAAACATCCCCATGTATTAGAGCTTTCCCAGCTCTCATTTGTTGTGGATATATCCTTTTTAGTTCCTTGTCACAATTAATGATTTCTTAATGTGAAGCCTGTCAAGAGAGCTGCTCTATTGATCTTCCGTCTTTCTCTTAGTGTCAGTAATTTAGGGAAGACGATGGGCCCATTACCCATGTACCCCGCAGCAGAAGATAACTATGGCTATGACGCGTGTGCTGTGCTCTGCCTGCCTTGTGTGCCAAACATCCTGGTTATTGCCACTGAATCAGGAATGCTGTACCACTGTGTGGTGCTGGAGGCAGAGGAAGAGGAGGATGGCGGAGTAAGACAGACAGAATTCAGTCATTCCATCCCACAGTTCATCAAATGCAGCTTGTCCAGTGTGCGAGATGCTGAGCCCCTGTGTTTCTGTGCATTCAGGCTGTAGAGAGATGGTCCAGAGGCTCAGAGACGGTGCCTTCGCTTTATGTGTTTGAGTGTGTGGAGCTGGAACTGACACTCAAACTGGCTGCTGGGGAGGAGGAAGAGGAGATTACAGAGTCAGATTTCACCTGTCCAATCAGATTACACCGAGGTGACAAGCACTCACCACACACAGAGACTACATCCTAATTTAAATACTTATATTACATCGTAATATGTACTTTGATGGTGATGAGAATCAGATTGCTTTTGGGTATGTAGTAGTATGTCATAAAATTATACAGGGCTTCTGCGGGGCATTGAAAAGAAATAAAAGTCATTAAATGGATTTAGCGAAAATGAAGGCCTTAAATAGCATTAAAAATAATTAAATTGTATTCCTACAGGCATTAAAAGTTTTTAGATGGTTTTGAAGAAAAATAATATTAACACGTTTATTTTGAATGTAGCCTTCATAATTAATAAGCTAACTTTTTAAAGTTGGAAAGAAATGGGGAAGTGCAACTGAGCAATTTTGGCGAGAATGATTCCGATTTTATTACATTCAGTGTAAATGATGATTGATAATGAATAATGTATTGACAGTAACAAGGCCACGCAAGTCTGTGTGTGAGAGAGAGACTCTCGTGGAGAAATAGAAACAAATTTTTTGTTTGAAACATATGATATAACCTAGTTAAGCAACATGAGACAGCCAAGAGAGTGCTGTTTCCAGAATATCAGCACGATTACAGATTTGACACAATCAGAGCAGACTGCGCTTGTCAAAGTGACAGTAACAAGGCCACGCAAGTCTGTGTGTGAGAGAGAGAGACTCTCTTGGAGAAATCGAAACAAATTTTTTGTTTGAAACATATGATATAACCTAGTTAAGCAACATGAGACAGCCAAGAGAGTGCTGTTTCCAGAATATCAGCACGATTACAGATTTGACACAATCAGAGCAGACTGCGCTTGTCAAAGGAGGGGGCTTTGTTGAAAACGACGTGTTTGAGAGAGGCGGGGCATAGAGGACCTACAATAATGTACAGTATTTGAAAAATAATGTGTTTTTTGAATATTAAAGCATGTCAACATATTCTGTTACACCAAATACACAAAATAATGATCTTTAAAAAAGCATCATATGACTCCTTTAAAATATATTCACATAAAAAAAAAACAGTTATTTTGAATTGAAATAATATTTCTCAATATTACTATTACTGCAGCCTTGGTGAGCAGAAGACACTTCTTTCAAAAACATTAAAAGACCTGTAGTGTGTGTAAAATTGTAATCTATTGACAGCCCATATATGTGTGTGTGTATATATATATATATATATAAAATCAAAAAATGCTGCTTAATAATTTTGTGGAAACTAATATATTTTTTTCTGAATTCTTTGGTGATTGGAAAGTATAAAATTTATTTGATGCAATGTTTTGTAATATTACAAATGTTGTTACTGTCATTTTTTTTTTAAATAATTTAATGCACCCTTGCTGAATAAAAGTATGAATTTTTGTCCAAAACTTTCTGTTTCAGACCCTCTGTGTCAGCACAGGTACCACTGCACACATGAGGCCGGTGTACACAGTGTAGGACTCATCTGGTTCAAAAAACTTCACAAGTTTCTGGAGTCTGGCGAGTATAACCTTTACTTGCAACATTTAAATATTTACGATTACAGAGTTTGAAGAACTCAGTTTGTGTGTTTTATGTGCAGATGAGGAGGATAAAGACAGTCTGCAGGAGCTGGCAGCAGAGCAGCGCTGCATAGTGGAGCACATCCTGTGCACCAGACCTCTCGCTAACAGGTAGAAGAACGCTCACAGGAAGCGACAGTTAAAGCTAAAACCCAGATCTCTTGTAAACAAAAGCCCAATTTGCAGATGTTTAAGAAAACCTTAAGGGACAATGAGTAAGCGCCGTAGATTACTGGTGCTTATTAAAATTCTCCTCTTGTATTATCTCTCTCTCAGTTTGCCGGCTCCTGTTCGTGGGTTTTGGATAGTGTCAGACCTGTCCCTGGGAGCCACCATGATCTGCATCACGAGTACCTACGAGTGTCTCCTGCTCCCTCTGCTGTATGTGACAAGCACACTCTGGCTCTTTCCCTCTTTATTAGGTCAGGGTTTCCCAAATGGATGTTTGTGAGGGAATTTCAGGGGCTGTGTTAGTTGATGAAAAGCTAATGAATTATATCGAACGTAAAATTAAAATAAATAAATGAGGTGAACGATTTTCGTAATATAGCTTTATGCAATTATCAAATCAAAGACTGCAGTTTAATTAAACAACTGTCTGATGTGCTGCTTGTTTCTGAGTGAAGCATTCAGTTTATTTCAGTATAATTATCAGGGCCTGTATTCATGAAAATTCTTAGTGCAAAGAGTTGCTCCTAGTGACAAAATTATAAGAAAATTCTTAGAAAAAAGGGGGCGTTTCCCCTTAGAATTAAAGAGTTAATAAGACACTACAGAAGAGATGTGCAGGGATCATGTTTGTGACTGATCTTATTGGAGGCACCACAACATCTCTCTCTCTCTCTCTCTCTGTGTGTGTGTGTGTGTGTGATTAGGGTAAAATAGGAAATAAAAAAGACCCTATTTAAGAACGCTCTATTTATTTATTTTTTCTTCTTGGACAACCAATCACAGTTTTCCAAAGATTGTGTCATACCTAGCAACAGGGTCAGCCCCGCCTCCTCACTAAGATGAAAGTTTTTATCTTTTCCTCGCTCGGAGTTACTCTCAGATTGGTCCTGAATCACTCTTAAGCTAAGATTCCTAGTTAGACATTTTTAAGCTAAATTAGGATCTCTCTGAGAGGATTCTTAGAAGCTTTAAGAATACCGACATAGATTATTATTTGTTTATATTTTATTAAAAAAAAAAAGTATTTGATTTCTGTCAACATTGTATTTGTCTTCATTTGTATAATTAGTGTTAAATCATACTAATAATAATAATTATCAACATCAGATAATATGCAAATGTGTTGTTAAATTATTGAAATACTAACTTAAAATCTCAGGGGTTGCGTCAAGTAAATATTTTACGGGGTTTATATATTTTAAGGGGTTCAGCTGACAAAAACGTTTGGGAATCCTTGTGTTAGATTATAGTTGAAAGTAAATTACTTGCTATCTGTTTTTTATGATTTTATCTGATTATATAAGATTTTCTTTTTAAATGTCCGATTAGAAGCTCTATTCGTCCACCGTCCCCTCCATTGCTCTGCTCTCATCCGGGGGCGGGGTCAGGAAGCTCTCCTCTGCGTGGATTGGCTGAAGACTCCTTTGAACAGCATATTCGCAACATCCTGGCACGCAGCTCAACCAATCCATTAATGCTGAGGTAAAATGTGACTGCTTATATTAAGTTTCATTTTTTAAAAGCAGCTAAAACTAACTTAAGATGGTTTTACATGGTTCTAAATGATTGATCACCTGCACTATCTGCTGGAAGACCTGGTCTTGACCTGCTAGATCATCCTGGTCTAACCCGTTAGGGCTGGTAGACCATCTTGAACCAGCAACAAACCACCTACCATTTTCAATAATGCAGCTTAAGCACATCAAAATGTTTTATTGCATTATATTACACTGGTTTGTAATATAAAGCTTTATGAATGGACATTACCGAGGCTGTTACATTCTTATGTGTGTGGTGTTTTGTGTGTGTATTTTAGGGCGGGTGATAAGGACTCGTCTCCTCCTCCTCCAGAATGTCTGCAGCTGTTGAGCAGAGCCACACAAGTGTTCAGAGAGGAGTACATCCTCAAACTAGGCCTGGCTCATGAAGAAATGCAGAGAAGGTACAAGATATAATGGTTTTAGGTCAATTTTATTAACAGCTGATATTACTGAAAATTATTTTAATGAGCAGTAGTGTACATCTAAATATGCTTAAGGGTGTGGGGTCACTATTTTTTTCTTAGCGTGTGTGTGTATAAAAATATATCAAGGATGCAGTAAAACCTATTGTTTTTTGTTTTTTTTAGAATCATTTTTTTTTCTCATTATGACAGTTTTTAGAAAAAACAGGCACATCTTCCACAATCAGATCAATATTGTACAATAAATAAACTGCAAATATGTAAAGCATGTGTAATATAAAACTGTAAATAGAATAGAAAATTAGAAGTTAGGAATAGAAGTTTGGGCTCAGTAAGATTTATTTATTCTAAAATGAATATTTTTATTCAGCTAGGATGCATTAAATTGATCAAAAGTGACAGTAAAAATTTGTAAAAAGTTAGAATATTTCTATTTCAAATAACTGCTGTTCTTTTAAACTTTATATTCATCAAAGAATCCTGAAAAAAAGTATCACACTTTTCACAAAAATATTAGGCAGCCCAACTGTTTTCAACTTTAATAATGAATGTTTCTTGAGCAGCAAATCAGAATATTATAATGATTTCTGAACACTTAAGGCTCACTGAAAATTCAGCTTTGCCATTACACAAATAAATTAAATTTAAAAATATGTTAAAACGGTTGTTTTATAATGTATTATTTCAACATTTTTACAACAAATGTACTGTAGTATTTCCATTTGCACCATGGTATCAATGCAGTTCTATTTTCCAGTCATAGCACTTAATGCTCTAATTTAAATCTGAATATGAATTATGCTCAGTGGAGTATAAAATTAACTATAGTTTTGTTCTACATAAACAGCTTAATATAAAATTTCATCATTAGTAGTGTGAAATTGTTGCAGTCCATGTAACAACACAGCTGTGATAATTCATTACATTATTGTTCCCTTTTCAGAGTAAAGCTCCTGACCAGCCAGAAGAATAAGCAGCTGGAGGATCTTGCTCTTTGTAGAGAAGAGAGGTGACCACAGCTTTGCCTGAATAACACTAATCACAACCACACATACAGAAACACATTTAGCTCAGTTGAGTCGCTGGGAAGAACTAAATGTATGAGTACTACAAATAGAGCAAAACCTCATGTTATTATAGTGTAGTATAATAATATGTAGTGTGGTAGACAGTGGAAATATATGAGTGGGCTCAGAACGAAAGTGTCATTAATGCTGTGGTTTACTGCGGTAGGTGCCTATGCTAAAGATGTGATGGTGTGTTGTAGAAAAAACCTGAGGGAGGCTGCGGAGCGGCTGGCTGATAAATATGAAGATGCCAAGTATCATCAGGAAGCCATCATGAACAGGTTCACCTTTCTTTGAATTTAGTTAAATAGAAAATTTTTGAAATGGGCATGTTTTTCTGAACTCAAAACTTCCTCTTCAGTTAAAAAAAAAAAAAAAATTTATTGTAACTAAACTGCAACCACGTGTGTGTGTGTGTGTGTGTGTGTGTGTGTGTATATATATATATATAGAGTAAAACAGGTTTTGGGAAGTCTGCGGAGTCAACTTCCTGTGCTGTCAGACAGTGAGAAGGACATGAGAAAGGAACTGCAAACCATCCACGATCAGCTCCGTCACCTTGACAACGGCATTAAACAGGTCTGTTTAATGCTGTTGTCAGTCTTATATTTACGCTGCTTCACTGTGTATCCTAGTTAAAGCCTAGTTTGTTTTGGCAGTGTTCCTCTGTTGCCATGAGAAGAGCAGATGTATGTCATTTCCTCAGTGTCATTGTGTGCTGTAATGTGTTGTCAGGTGAACATGAAGAAGGAATATCAGAAGAAGCAGATGAATACAGGAGCATCTCCGGCTCGCTCCAGTCTCACACTCAATGCCCACCAGAGGAAGTGTGTCCAGGGAGTGCTGAAAGAACAGTATGTACAGAGAGTTACCACCTGCTTTCACTTCACACATACACCAAAGCACCAAATGCCAGTGCTAGTATGCACCATTCATACTGTAAAGTGATAAGCATATATTAGACAACGCTTTACAGAGGTCTGTTGTTGGACCATGACCATCTCTTATCTCTGTGTGATCAGGTCATATTATACCCACAACCAAAAGAAAAATAGAAATGACACATTGTTTTTTTAGAACCATGACAGTGTTCTACAAGACTGCAAAAACAGAATTGTCTGGAGCTAATGTTACTGTTACACAGAAGAAAATCCCTGTTACTGTTACGCAGAAGAGTCATTCCTGTTAAAGGGGTCATATGATGCGATTTCAATTTTTCCTTTGGAGTGTTACAAGCTCTTGGTGCATAAAGAATAATGTTCTTTTTAGCAGCATCATATGACCTCTTTAATTTTACACACAAAAAAATCCCAGTTACTGTTACGCAGAAGAGTCATTCCTGTTACTTTTACACACAAAAAATCCCAGTTACTGTTACAATATAGACTCATTCCTGTTACTATTATGCAAAAAAACTAATCCCTGTTACTGTTAGGGCTGGGATAATAAATCGATGCATCGCGAATCGAGAAATGATTCTGCATCGATTCTGAAATTTCCCGAAGGCACCGCGATTCTCTCTTGAATCGATTCTGAGCTTAGTTTTTAACAGCAGATGGCACTGCGTGCTGTAGAAATAGCCGTATTCTGCTTGCTTCCAGTTCCTTACACACGCACCACTTGAACCTAAAATAATCATTCATAAAGTTCAAAAAGGTTGAAGCGAATTACAAGGATGTTCACAGTGGGCTGTGTTTACATTAATCTTGCATCATAAAAGCCGATGTGCAAGTACATTTAACCACTTACATTACTCAGCCAAACGCACAAGCGCTCTTCGTGAGCATTTGAGTGTGCGGTTAAAAACTAGCCTAGAGCGCCATCTGCTGTTAAAAACTAAGCTCAGAATCGATTCGAGAGAGAATCACGATGCATTCCGAAAATCTCAGAATCGATCCACGAATCGATTTATTGTCCCAGCCCTAGTTACTGTTACACAGAAGACTCATTCCTGTTACTGTTACGCAAAAAACAAATCCCTTTTACACAGAAGACTCATTCCTGTTATGCAAAAACTCATGTTACTGTAATGCAAAAGATAACAAATCCCTGTTACTTTTACACAGAAGACTCATTCCTGTTACTGTTACGCAAAAAGAAACACATCCCTGTTATCATTACCCAAAAGTCTCATCTGTTACTGTTCTGCAAAAAACTAAAATCCCTGTTACTTTTACACAGTAGACTCATTCCTGTTACGCAAAAAAAAAACAAATCCCTGTTATTGTTACACAGAAGACTCATTCCTGTTAGTTCCATAAAAATACAAATCCCTGTTGCTGTTACACAGAAGACTCGTTCCTGTTACGCAAAAATTAATCCCCGTTATTGTTACACAGAATGCTCATTCCTGTTACGCAAAAAACACATCACTGTTACACAAGACTCATTCCTGTTACTGATATGCGGGGAAAAAAATTCCTGTTACTGTTACACAGTAGACTCATTCCTGTTAATGTTATGCAAACATTGTTAGTGTTACCCAAAAGTCTCATCCGTTACTGTTATGCAAAAAATAAACAAATCCGTTACTGCCACAAAAAAACTGTTACCATAATGCGCAAAAAAAACTTAACCCTGATACTGTAATGCGCAAAAAAATTGTAATGTAAAGGAAAACTTATACACATTTACATGTATGTATGTTATTTGTATCTTTTTAATTGTATAGTCAAATAAGAATCAACTAAAAGTAAAATTCTCCAAAGAGAATTGGAGGGGGATCCTACTTTTTTTTTTTTTTTTAACACATTTTATCACATATTAGATATGTATTTGACACTTGTGTTAGTCCAGTGATCCTGAACTGCTTGGTTCTGTCCTGCAGGGGAGAGCACATCGCTGGCATGATGAAGCAGATCAAGGACGTTAAGAACCATTTCAGTTTCTGACCATCAGCAATCAACAGTCTTCAGAGGCTACAGAAGAGCCAAATAGCATCTTCGTAGAGCTCCTTTAAAGGACAGTACTTGACCCAAACCTCTCACATTCAGAAGTTCTTGAAGAAGAAAATTGCTGGGATTTTGGTATAAACTAGTTTGTCTATTTTTTTTTTTTTTTATAAGTAGTATGTACATGTACACATCTCCTTGACAATAAAGAGTTTTGTACATTGAAGTGACTCTTTCCTTTATATGCTGCTGTGAGAGTTTATCAGCTGTGAGACAGTAGTGTTGGGCATTGGGGTTATTTCCTGAACTGAGACTATGGCTTATCTGAAGAGGTCATGCTGGATATTAAGACTTCTCCCTCTTTTCCTTCCCTCCTCTAATCACAAGGTGGAATGTGACGATGGAAGAGATCATGTCAAGAACAAGGAGCTTGTACATTTACTGTAGTGGAGGGAAGGAATGTCCCGGGTTCAGTACACGTTGAGCTCTACCAACAGTGTCTGCTGTTTACTACCAAAGTTCATTTTGTACGCTGTCAACGTTTCAATTTTGACTGTCAAAATTTTTCTCAATTTTGGCCTGTCAATTTCCACTTTTTTCTCATTATCTCACAATTTTAACTTTTTTTCCCCCTCAATTTCAGCTTATGTCTGTTCCGCCATCTCAGTTATGACTGTCAGTTGACTTTATTTAATAATTTTGACTGTCAAAGTCATTATGAGATAAAAAGTCAGTTATGACAACTTGATACTCATTCATAGAAAGTAATATTTTGTCATTTGATTCGTCAATTTTAACTCATTAAGTCAGCTCATAATTTTGACTTTTTGTCTCATAATTGACTATTTCAATTTTGACTAATAATAATGACTTTTTCATAATATTGACTTTGAAAACTTTTTTTTTTTCTGTTTTGGTTCATGTCAATTTGAACTTTTTCTCATAATTATGCCATTTTTCTCAATTTCGATTTATGTCAATTATAACTTGTCATAATTTTGATTTACCAAAGCATGACTCACATTTATGTGTTGGAAATTATATTACACTGTTAAATGTAAACATTAAAACATCAAATGCGTTAAAAACCATGCATAACCAAAGTCTTAAACATTATACATGTTGACATGAGATTAATATGATATTGGGAAGGGGATGAAAAAGGGAAATGGATCGGCTACTGACTACAAAGCCACATAAAACTTTAACTTTCAGATTGTTTTATTATATAGATATGTACAGGGATATGTACACAGTACAGTATATAAATCTGCAAGGGCTTCTGCATTTGCAACACAGCATGCAAAGAACAGAAATATAACCGTTGTTATTGTGAAAGTATCTGAACTCCCTCTTCACAAACCCGGTACAAATGACTGTCATGAATTATAACTTATACTGACTGGAGAAAAGTCTATTTAAAACAATTTTCTTTAAAAACGGTAGTCTCCTTGCCCCACATCAGTTATTAGAGTTCAAGCAGTGTCTGCTAATGAAAAATGTAGCTCCTAAAATACTCAGATGTCAAAACCACTGAAGTGAAACGCTTCTGTTGCTCTAGTGACACATGAAGCCACTGAAGTAGCAATTACATGAAGCTTACGTGTGTTTGCACAGGAACATGTGAGCGTTATGAAGTGCAACTTACAGATAATAAAATCAAACAACACCACAACACACCTGGTCATAATATAATGGACATATTCACACAGGAAAGCTTCTTCATCATCCTCATCAGATCACAACAGCAGCACTGGTCATACTATAGTAGCGTTGTTAAAGTTCTGTGTACTCATCAGATGTAGTTGATAAAGTGGTTGGATTTGCTCAGGAAACAATTCATTGTATTTATCAAGCTGCACATTTTAATATATGGAATATTTTGACTGAATTAAGATTTCCATTGACACTGACAACTTCCTCTCTTTTAATTACAAAATTAGCAGACATAATGTTCAACATGCAGATACATGGCTTTAACTATCAATTTTTTCCCAAATTTTCAGCCAATTTTCATTCTCAAGCCATGGGCGCTTTTTAAGGTTAATTCTACAGCCTGACCTATTTTTTATTTTATTTGAAAAAGACCATGCCATAATCACATGCCACTTTAGGTCTTGTAAAAAACAAAAAATAAACTGAATTTTTGCCATTTAGACAACTGAATATAAATCACACTTTGCACTTGTTTCCTGCAGTTGAGTTACATCGCCTGGCAACCGTTATTTTAAAGTAAACATGAACCAGAAAATGATTTAAGCCCTTGTTTCCCCCTTTTCTCATTATGATTATGATTTAAACTATCCAAATATGCTGCTTCGAGAATTTAAGGTCAACATGATCAACTTTGGTTCAGCGAATCCCATTCGCTTTTCTGTTTACGCCACACATAAGACAGACACAGACATGGTACACAAGATGCCCCTTAGTCCCACAGGGCATCACAATGACTGTAAATCATAAACATAGTGTGCTTTCATTAATATACACTCGGTTATAACTCGGTCAGTGTAAGTGCTGTTGCCGTATACTTGACACAAATCAAGCGAATGTCAAAATCTGACCAGAAGTTAACTGTAAAAATCATCAGTTGTGTTTGCAATATCCTTCTGAAAGAAAAAATATATATATTTTTACACAGAAAAATACGCAAAGACATCAGTCAGTTCCAAGAAAAGTAGCAGTAACTTCAAGCAAAGGACATCGATTTTGTTAAATTGCCAGGAAGTGGGGAAAAAAAAAAAGGACTGTGGAGGGTGTTTAAGACGATGGTTGTTGAGGAAAAGTGATCCGATGCAGCTAGTAATTACATCCCAGTGAAATGACTGGCGGACGATGAGAAACACAGTGTCGCTTGTGAAAATGTAGGAGGCGGATCAAGAAGGGAATCACAGTCTTGTGTATTAACTTAACTAACGCAATATACACAAATAATCTGTACACAAGTATGTACAAAACACTTCAGAAGTGTCCGTTTCCTTCACAGGTCACTGCTGCTAGCTTAGCAGATGGAAAGATGAGGAAGGAAGAGAAGAAAGGTGGAAGAGACGGGAACTTTGGTAGGGTCTGGGAATGGGAGAGTCACGCAAGTCGATTTTCTCCTTTCCTGAACTGAATGAGGAACAAAAGCAGCGTTTGTTGAAAGACCAGCAGCTCCTCGCGGCATCCGCAGTGGAGAACTGCATTATAAGACACAAACGCTTCACTCTAATAGAGCCGGGAGTCTTCGTGCTCTTGCGAACGCATGGACAAGCTGGATAGCAGTAGGAGAAATCAGTAGTGTTCACCGAGACCTGCAGGATCAAGTCTTCCTCGCTCGATTCGGTTTATCTAGATGGAGTCAGGCCGAAGATCTGGGGTACAGGTGGTGTGTGTGTGTTTCTGTGCATGGAGGAAGTGACATCATGTCTCAGGGAGCTGGCTGATGTCTGTTAGGTTGGTGCCGTTGAGGATGGCACGGATGCGCTCTAACGAGTCTGCTTGCCGGATACGCTCCAATTGCACCTGAAGGGAGAACAAGAACATTGTATCTTCAGCTGTATGCGTGTGTGTGTGTGTGTGTGTGGGGTAAAAAAAAAGAAAACATTTTTTTTTGTTTAAATGAAGGACCAAAAAAAGTCTCTTTAAAAAAAATAAACAAATAAATAAAATTTGAAATCTTACAAACCCCAAACCTTTGTGTACATTTTTATTTTTGCGTAATTTTATTTTTGAATTAATAAATGTATCATTTATTCTTTTATTTATTTATTTTTTTTACAAATCTCATGCTCACCAATGCTGCATTTGTTTGATCACAAATACAGCAATATTGTGAAATATTATCACAATTTAAAAATAACCGTTTTGTATTTTAATATATTTTTTAAATGTCATTTATTCCTGTGATGGCAAAGCTGTATTTTCAGCATCATTACACCGGCTCAGTGTCACATGATCCTTCAGTCATTTCTTATTATCAATCTTGAAAACAGTCATGCTGCTTATTATTTTTCTGGAAACAGTGATACACTTTTTAAGATTCTTTGACGACTATAAAGTTAAAAACGACAGCATTTTTATTTGAAACAGAAATCTTTAGTAATATTATAAATGTCTTTACTGTCATTTTTGATCAAGTGATCCTTGCTGAATATTAGTAATAATTATATATTGCTCAAACGTTTGACATTTTCAAATGGACAAATAAACACATTGTTTATTGAATTCTTGTTTAACAGTGTTAATGAAAATGTAATAAAATAATATAATCGCCTTTCAATTGGACAAATATATTGATTAAAAATATTTGATTAATTATTTAACAATTAATTTATTCATATTTGAACTCATTTTGCATTGACACTCCTATTCATTAAAAACATACTCTCACTTGAGGTGGATACCATTTTGACTTATTGAGATAAAAGCACAAACACATTTACGGAAGAAATTCCTAGATGTGTATCAAAAAAGTAGTGTGATTTTGCCTCAAGTCATATGACTGCATAATTCACTAGAAGAAGAAAAGAAAAGCTACCATCATCTCCCAGAAGGGTCTTGACGTGCTGTTGTGCCTCAAGCAGTCCTTCATGTTCTACTAGTGAGCTGTGTTTACCTGAAGGGTCTGGGACAGTTTGACGAAATCTCTCTGGACCTGCTCGCTGACATCCAGCTCTGTCTGAAGTCTCTGTGCCTTGTCTTTCTCTTCAAACACCTGAGTCTCCAAAGCACTCTACAACACACACATTTTTTTTTTTTTTGTAAATAAGGGTTTCACTTTACTTTATAATACAGGATTATATTAACTAAAACGAACATGCAATCTTTTGTTTGATGCAAATCCAACACTGCTGTTTGTATGGTCTAAGAATCCTGCTTATCTTATCAAATGATCCATCACATGCACAGGAAACTGACCAGACTCTGAACTTTGCGATGAGTTATGAGAAACATAACTCAAAGATGAGCATGCAGAAGTCTAGTGTGAAGGCAGAGCGCAGTGATCACATGGGGGTTCAGACCTTGCTGCCGAGGGCGTCTTTCAACTGTTCCTCCAGACTGTTCTTCAGGCCCTGGACGCTCTCCAGCATCTGGCTCTTCTCTGCCAAGCTGCTCTCCAGCTGTTGTAAAAATCAGCAGATTGGTCAACAAGAACAGACAAAAAAAAACAAACAAAAAAACACACTCCTATTATTACTTCTACTATTGTGAGAAAAATACTGATATTATGCATAAATACCATGCACCGTAAATATTATTTCTTATTATGTAATACATTATTGAGAAAAATGCACTTCTCAAATACTATTCTGCAAAAAAAGAAGAAAAAAAAAAAAGGCTTAATTTTCTTTTAGCTTTTGGAGTCACATTGACTTGGACAAGTTCTTGACCCGTTTTGTGACGTTCAAGCTAAAAGGTAATAAAAATCAGCAGTCTGCCTTGAACGTCTGCCCTACCTGCTCCTTCTCACTCTTCACTCGTTCCAGTTCTGTTTTCAAGCTGGAAAAAGATGCTATAGGTTGGAAGACATAAAAACAAAAAAAGCATGGTCACCTGCTATTGCTGTGTTTTGCATTAGTCAGACACAAACTCAACGCATGACTAGTTCTTGACAAAAACATGAGAACAAGGCAAGCGTTCTCCTCGGTAACAAGAGGAATCATTCGCTCAAAGATCTGTGTGTTAGTGCTGCTGAGCCAGAATGAAAACTGAAAAACTGTGACTTGACAATGAATTCGACATGACTTGGAAATTACAAGTAGACAGTTGAGGGTGTGTTTTTATGAATGTTTAAGCTAATAACTCCATCTCCTCAAGCTTGGACTACTGTATCTGCACCCCGTCACCTAAAGAATGCTTACAGCAGTATTACAGTTGCTCTGAACAGTGCTGGGGACTAACTAACTGAAAGATATGTAGCTGATACAACATCATTCAGCAGCATAATGTTTCAAAACAGTGTAGAATTTTCAATTACTTTAACAAGTAACAAAGCCCTACAGAGTAGCTTCAAAATAAATTGTGTGCCGCTTTCCAGCTGAGCGAGTTGAGGAAATAAAACTGTTAATCGTGTCTTTGCATTTTGCATTTGTAGAGAAATATTTAGTTAAATCATGTCATTCATCACCATGTCTTCAACTTCATTACTGTATAAATTAGGGCTTTTTAGGGGTGTTTTTTTTTAATGTAAATTACTATTAACATTTAAGTATCAATACTTAAATATTAATTGTTTTGCCCATATCCCAAGTTTAATTTCACTGAGCTGAACCCAACATCATGTGAAGACATATTAGTACAGTACACAGCTAAATGAAGTAGTACGCAGTGATGTGGATGTGATAGAGCAGGTTCTGTACACACAGTGCTAATGGGTTTAGGGGGGGGTGTTAGGATGGCGTCGGTGGTGCCAATATAGACAGACATGACCTAGACAAACACAAAGTCAGGCAGGGATTCATACCTTCCAGGATGTCTGAACACAAGTCACCAATGCAGAGAGAAGTGAAGGAGAAAAAGACAGTATTGAAATGCAAACCATGAGAGGTAGATAAATGTGTGCATTCCTCTGATTGAAGGAGGTTCACACAACCTTCATTGAGTTTAATCAGTTTTGTATTTGGATCAGAAGTTGGATTTGCTTACATTTTTCCAAACCGCTAAAGACTCAGATTTCAAAGCCTCAATGTAAGCCAGTGTAAACATCCAGTGCTGCTGAGCGAAGCTTTTGATCACTCAAGGTAAGGGTGGGCTGTATGAACAATCTTCTATCATTTCATAATGTACTTATTTTGGCATGAGACTCAACCTGAAAAGGTTTCTTTATTATAGCATAACCATGAATTTTCAATCATCTAGTGAATGAAATGCTTTATTAATGAACTTATTTTTTTCTTTTTAATGGGAACTTGATAGATGAAGTCTTGCTTCAGTGCAAAAACATTTTGTATCATATAATTGTATTCTATAATTATATTGAACTGAAAAGACATCAGTGGATCAGTTGCTTAAAACTTAATTGTTACCGATGTGCCCACAGATGTCTGTGATTGGACGCTCAACCGAAGTAATTATATTAATAAATAATACACACACACACACACGTATATATATTTATTTATGAAGTATATCATTGATATTTTTCAATTATTTTTCAATTAATTGTGCAGCCCATACTGCAGTTCCTCAAATCTTGTCCTGGAGGGCCAATGCCCTGCAGAGTTCAGCTCCAACCCTAATCAAACACACCTAAGCAAGCTCATCAAGGTCGTCAGGATCCCTAGAAAATCACAGGTGAGTGAGTTCGATCAGGGTTTGAGCTAAACTCTGCAGGACAGCGGCGCTCCAGGACCGGATTTGAGGAACCCTCTTAATATAAACCATCATGGCGTCCAACCGTTAGCTTTCTTTGTCTATCCAAATCAACTGATATCTGCAATCCACTCACCGATCTCTTCTTTACAGCCCTCTATCTCCAGCTGTAGAGTGTCCTCCAGATTCTCTTTGAGACACTGCTCTGCCTGAATCTGCTCCTTCAAGAACAGAATTTCAGCCTTCAGCTTTTCCTCCAAATGCTCTGCTGCTGTGCACGCAGAAACAATGTCCTCCCTGTACAGCAACACCAGCTTCTGAAGCTCCTAGGTGGCAAAATATTAAAAAACAAATAGTTTAGACTCTATAATCTGATTGGATGATCTTAGCAGTAAAATACCCAATTGTCAGCGCATATCAGTTGAATTTTATATTAATGCACAAGTTGCTACATCATTTTGCACAGTAAATTTCCACAACTTTTGATTAGGGGATATGTATTTTTTAAAATCACTTAAATAGTTTCCACTATTGCACAAACAAAAGTAGTAATTTTTACATAATGTTCTAAGATTTTATTTAGCAATTTTCCCAGTTCTTCCTACCAATTTCTAAGATTTGTTTAATTTCCCTGATTTTTCATAAATTAATATTTTATGAATTTTTCTTTCATAATTTTCCAAGATTATATCAATTTTATTTTTAATTCAGTTTTAAAGATTTTATTATTTTTCTCATTTTCTAAGATTTTATTATTAATTTCCCTTTTTTCATAATTTTCTAAGATGTGATCAATTTCCCATTTACTCATCCTCCTGACAAAAAAAATTATATCTAGAATATAGAATTTAATATACATCAGTGTGCAGTTATATATATATATATTTTTACATTTACATTTAGTCATTTAGCAGACGCTTTTATCCAAAGCGACTTACAAATGAGGACAATAAAAGCAGTCAAAACTAACAAAAGAGCATCAAATATATAAGTGCAAATGACAAGTCTCGGTTAGCCTAACACAGTACACGTAGCAAGGTGTATATATAAATATTATACATACACACACACACATACACGCAAAGAAAAACAAGTAGATAGAATAGAAAAAATAGAAAGCTAGTGTTTGTTTTTTGTTTTGTTTTTTTAAATAAAGAATAAAAAATAAAACAAGATAAATATAGATAAAGTAGAATTAAAATAGAATAGAAAGTGCTAGAGTTAGAGGGTCAAATAAAGGTGGAACAGATGTGTTTTTAGTATGTTTCGACTTGGACCCCTCACCTCTCCAAGATATCTTGAAGGACCTATCTGAGAGGTAAGACTCAAACCACTGGCGTGCGGTTCCTGAGATGCCATTTTCCAATAGGGTTGACAGGAGAATCTGGTGGTTCACCGTATCAAAAGCAGCAGACAGATCCAGCAAAATAAGTATAGAAGATTTGGAAGCCGCTCTTGCCAGTCTTAGGGCTTCAACAACTGAAAGCAAGGCAGTCTCGGTCGAATGTCCACTTCTGAAGCCAGATTGGTTGCTGTCCAGGAGGTTGTTCTGTGTGAGAAAGGCTGTGACTTGGTTGAACAACTCGTTCAAGTGTATATATATATATATATACACACGCATACACATGCATACATACATACATACATACACACACACACATATATATATATATACATACACATATACATACACACATATATATGTATATACTGTATATATAAATAAATAACTGCACACTGATGCATTTCAACCAACAATGCCTTCCTCAGAGTGTCTCAACAACAGCTCTTAACCATCATACACATATACATACACACATATATATGTATATACTGTATATATAAATAAATAACTGCACACTGATGCATTTCAACCAACAATGCCTTCCTCAGAGTGTCTCAACAACAGCTCTTAACCATGGTTAAATAACAGCCTCTTCTGTAGAATTACTGTTATTTTTGGCATATTTTCTTACTATGCTGCTAAAGAAGGGGGACCAATCAAACAGGGTGCGTTCAAGTGTTAAAACAGCTAGATGAAATGCAGTGGAATTGAACAGAAGGTGCATCTCACATATGTGCTGTAGTACCTGTACAGTGGCGGGCATGTGAAAGTCCTCTTGCTGCTGCAGCGTCATGTGAAGTCTGTGTTTACCCTGAAGACTCTCATTATCTCTCTGCAGTCTGTTCAGCTCTTCAGTCACCTGCTCTCTGGACTGTAGCAGCACAGCCTGAACACACACACACACACGCACACGCACACGCACACGCACACACACCACTTAGCCTACTAAACACCACACGCACACGCACACGCACACGCACACACACCACTTAGCCTACTAAACACTCTGGAAGCCACAAAAGCATATTTCCAAGTAAAGAGGAAAATGAACCATTATAAAAGAGGATTTTAAAAGAAATCTGCCAATGAAAATATCAGTGACCCTGAGAGATTCACCAAGCATTCCTCAGGTAATAACTAACCGACAGAAACCTTTCAAAGGCGATTTATTTAGGGTATCATGTCACAACAGCATCAAGTTTATCACCTTAATAGTGCAACTTCAGATTTGAAACAGATGTGCCTCAAGAAATTCCAGAAATCATGAATACTAAATGCCAAAAGACACTTCTGCACAGTAGTACAGATCATACAGGCATGAAGAAATTCAAAATAGGACTAGATCTAAACCAAGAGGTTCTTCATTAAATGCTTTCAATGGGAAAAAAAACAAAACAAAACATATGCTCTCACTGAAAGTCATCGAGGATAGCAAGTGAATGTTGTTGTGTAAGTGTATTTGGTCATACCATCTGTTCCTGGGTGTTCCTCTTGGCCTGGCTGAAGGCCTGTTGGAGAGTGCTTACGAGAGACTCAGACTCCTGAACTTTCTGCTTCAACTCTGAGATCTGTGCACCAGACAAATGAAAATGACTGAAGTAATTTGACTGGGAAGAAGAGTAATATTCAGAGCATTCTGCACATTCTTCACTTTTGTGAAAAATACTATGAAGACACTGTGGCTGTGTTCTAATTCCTGGTGAGCTGCCTAACCAGGCATCAAGGTACACTACTGTTCAAAAGTTCCCATTTTGGTTAGTATGCTTCCTTAGAGGTTGAAACATAACCCTTTTTAAAAATTATAAAGATGAACAATTACTGCACTTTCCTCACTGTATATGATGCTCCAATTTGCACGTGTGCGATCCCATCTAAGTTTAACCTGTCAACAGATTTGTGCTTCACTAAATCCATCAGAGAGATGAGCTTTACCTTGGCAGTAGTTTCCTCATTGGCCTGCTTGACAGAGTCCTCTAACTCCTGCCTCTCATTCATTGTCCGCTCCAGCTGATCGTTCGCCTGCCGCAACATGGCCTGAAGCTTTTTAACCTGAAGGCACCACCAAAGGAAGTTCACTGTATAACAATACTACAGAATGTCATTTTGAATCATTTCATTATGGGTCTTGTACGTGACTTTAGCGGCATAAAAAACAAACCTGATCTCGTGTCTCGGCCTCTTGTCCCTGAATGACCTGCAGCTGTTTCTCATAATTAGAGCACATATCACATCTCCGCCCCAACTTCCTTCCAGCGTTCTTCAACTGGGGGGAAACCACACCAAAAACAAACACAAAAAGTATTATTAAAGCATATTTAAGATCTCCGCTCATTGCTGATCCATTTCAAACAACTGTATGCTACACTGTTGTCACATGACCTTGTTACATTACATGTTTAAACAAGCAATGTCCAGTTATCAAACAGAGTTAAAACGATTAAAATTCACGCATTTTTGATCCAGATCATTCACCAAAATGCAAATTGAAAGTGCATTGCATTGTGGGATACAGTAACTTGTATTTCCTACAGAAATCTGTTTTTGCAGTGAGTCAGTAATGACAATGATTCACAAAACCTCAAGTTCACAAAACTTCATTTTGAAATGGACATTAGTGGAAGCAATGGAAACTTACAGTTCAGTGAGTCAGATGTTGATTCAGCAAACTGACTGATTCGGTGAGGAATTCGTTACACTGATTCAAACTTCAGAGCTTAAAAGAACTGGCTATGGTTACACTTTATGTTTCTGATTTACTAAAAAGAACCAGCTCAAAAGATTCATTTGTTTGGAAACTGAACTACCAATAAACTGGTTGCACTGGATGTTTCTGTTTCCCTAAAAAGAAAGGCTCAGTAGAGTCATTTGTTCATGGAATTGGACAACGGTTGCACTGTAGGCTTCTAACGGCCATATAAAAGCAAATGTGGTAGATCATTCATGAATTTTGCGGATTCAAAAAATCCATACTTAACAGTATAAATACTATGTAGTACAAAAATATTACAAGCAAAATGATAGTGCCACTCCAAACATAAGCATAACTCGTTTTAGATCACAACATACATTCACCGGCCACTTTCTTAGGTACACCAGCTCAACTGCTCTTTAATGCAAATATCTAATCCGCCAATCACATGGCAGCAACTCAATGCATTTAGGCATGTAGATATGGTCAATACAACATGCTGAAGTTCAAAGCAAGCATCACAATGGGGAAGAAAGGCGATTTAAGTGACTTTGAACATGGTATGGTTGTTGGTGCCAGACGGGCTGGTCTGAGTATTTCAGAAACTGCTGATCTACTGGGATTTTCACACACAACCATCTCTAGCTTTTACAGACAATGGTCTGAAAAAGAGAACAATAGCAGATTGGAAGAGGGTTGCCTAGTCTGAAAAGTCTCGATTTCTGCTGCATCATTTGGATGGTAGGGTCAGAATTTGGCGTAAACAACACAAAAGATTGGATCCATCCTGCCGGTGGTGTAATGGTGTGGGGGATATTTTCTTGGCACACTGTGGGCCCCATAATACCAATTAAGCATTGTTTAAACGCCACAGCCTACTTGAGTATTGTTGCAGACCATGTCCACCCCTTTATGACCAGAGTATAACCATCTCATGATAGCTACTTCCAGCAGGATAATGCACCATGTCACAAAGCTGAAATCATCTCAAACTGGGTTCTTGAACATGACAATGAGTTCACTATACTCAAATGACCTCCAGAGTCACCAGATCACAATTCAATAGAGCACCTTTGGGTGTGGTGGAATAGGAGATTCACGTCATGCATCTGCAACCTCCAATGTCAATCTCTGGGAAATGTTTCCAGCATTTTCTTGAATCTATGCCACAAAGAATTACGTTCTGAAGGCAAAAGGGGGTCCAACCCAATACTAGCAAGGTGTACCTAATAAAGTGGCTGGTGAGTGTATTTTCACTAACAAGGCTACTGTATAGCTGGGTTCAACAGTAAAGAAAACAAAATAGAGACAGCTGATACAAACAAAAACACCCGCTAAAAAGCATCTACTATCTGACCTCTTGCTGCAGCAGATTCCACTCGCTCTCGCTGACCAATCGGTAGCCAGACGGAGGAAGGTAAGCTGTATCGGCAGAATGAGAGATGCTGGACAGGAGTGATGCAGTTTCCTCCTGCTCTGGGGTCATGGCCTTAATGGCCTTCTCCTGGTCTTTGGTGAGGAGAAAGTGTCCCGGCTGGAGGGATGACATGGAGGAGGTGTCCCTGCTGTCAAAGCCCCCACAGTCTGCCCCCACTAGAGGGCCAAAGTCTGACTCGTCCAGCTGGCTAGCTGACTTGGCCTTGTTGTTTTGTCCACCCAGCCCGTGAGGCTGTAGGGCCCCTCCTGAAGAACCCAGGCTATCAGTGGACTGCACCCTCCGAAGCCCATCCTTATAAGGGTCAGAGCCGTCCGGACGGCTCGGGGTGTCTGCGTCCAGAGAGTGTAAAGAGCTGTGGATGCTCTGGCTGAGGTGGGACTGAGATCAAAATGAGAAAAAGAAAACAAGATGCTTAACATTTAAGGTAACGTTACAGTCAACATTGTAGATTTTAAGTTAACAATAATTAACTGAAATTCTATTTAAAACCAAAGTAATGATGATCAGTCATTCTTTTGTAACACTATACAAACAATATTTCAGCACAGTATTCAGCTATCATTTCTGCACTGCAGAAAGTCCAGTCATAAAAATGTATGGTATATTGCAGAATGTTGTGACATTTGGCAAATTATGGATGAATAAATCAAAAGTTGGGCTGTACACTTCATCAAATCGAAATATGAGGATTTTTTTTTCATGTTTTAAATTTAACAATAAACCTCTGTTGAGCAGCACTTTGTTTCCCAAAAAATAAAAGGAATTGTTACATTTTCATTTGATTACATTTTAAAGATTATTTACACTCTTATTGTTTGGTTGCCTTTGATTACAACCAGTAATTTATATAGTATATAGTATAATTACTAATATAGATAGTAATTTGTATTAAATCATAAATCCAGAAAAAAAGACAACACAGAATTTCTGAAAAAAAAAACCTCTTCTATGGAGAATCCGAGCAGAGAGTCCTCCACTGTTTCTCCATGCTCTGTCCCATCATCCTCACTGGCCTCTTTAGCCTGGCTCAGTCTTTCCATCTCATCCTCTTCCTGGAAAAATATGCAAATATTTGCATAAATGTACAGTAAGCGCGAGACTAACCAGGTGTCCTAACAAGGTGCAAGACGATAATGCAACAAGTGATAAATACTCTTACTTGCAATGTTGGCTTATATTCAGAATTTAAGAATTGGCTCCCTTTCAATTCATAAAATTAAATTTGAAGTGAACTGACACCCCACAGGATGTTGAATTGGAATTTGAATCAGAATTTACTGAAATGCCAACAAAAAAATTAATGTCAGTCAAAAAAGGAATTTCATTTATCTAACATAAGTTTTGCAAACAAATGAGATAATTACACGTCTAATTATCCTCGTTTAATTATCCCTAATATGTAGACTATTTTAACTGATTTGACATACTTCTCTGAACCAAGTTAAATAATATAAAAAAATTAACAAAATTTAGAGATAAATTAGTGCAGTTTGGGGAAAAGGTCTTCAGCCATGATTTATAAAATTAGTTAAAAACAAATAACTATTAATACCAGTGAGCCTCACATAGATCGACCCTCACATAAAAATACTGATACCAACTGTTTTAACTATTTCAATGCGGAAAAAGAAAACAAAAAACTTTAAAGAGGGGATAAATTAATTATGGTCTCATTGAAACATCACCAAACACTACATAAAAAGGCACAGCTAAATATGACATTTATTATAATAGGTTTATGTGAATATTGTTCAATTAAATTAAAACTCATACTATAATAACTTAAACCATTATACTATTATTACTAATTGTTATACTATTTTTAATGTTCTGTAACTGTTATAAACATATAATAATATAAACGACAAATATTCATTTATATCTGATAACAGATCACTGTAAATTGTAATGTAAACACATGCATTTTCTGAAAAGCTGTTTTGAAACAATCTGTATTGTGAAAAGCACTAAAAAAATTAATAAATAAAGGCCTGTAATATTGAGACTTACTCAATTGGATAAAAAAATAAAAAACCCACAAACATTTGATAGAGGCATCAGTATCAGTGATAGTGGCCTACATTCATACTACTTAGTAAAAAGAAACAATAAAAATTTGTTTCAAGAAACAAATAATATTAAATATTTAAAATACTGTGTTACTGTGACACTTTGTTACTGTCTTTCCATAGTAATTTGGAGAATGTGAAATATTAATCTGATTAATTATGCGATTAATCACAATTAGTTACAAAAATCTCTGATTAATTTATTTTTTAATTAATCAACAGCCCTACTGATCTATAGATAACGATTCAAACATTGATCTAGTGCTTCTAGACATACTCTATATGTTGTAATATATGTCAAATGTTTATGGGTAATACATACTGAAAAATGAAACACATTAAAAAATTGGTTTCTGTTTTTGTCGAGTCAGGCTCCACCCACAGTAAAGTTTCTTTAGTCTGAACTCCTGCTCCATATTGTTGTGTGTTAAACAAAAATGTTCTGACTGGCAAAGGTTTTTTTTTTGGAGCTTCATGAAGCATTTTAGCTTTTAGTTAGACCAGAAGAAAAAAAAAACCAATGCTGGAAGCTTGTTGCTTCATGTCTGGTTAGGACACAGTGCAAACAACCAGATCTTTTATACTTACTAAACAACCTCAATTGAGAATTGCTTTTAGTCTGAGCTTTAGAACGGATTCAATTAATGCTTCCAGTTCATTAAACAATAGAAGTACCTGGTCCCTCTTCTTCATCTCCTCCACCTGCCGCAGCTGCTCGGAGGACAGAACGCTCTCAATGCGCTGCATGTCTCGCATCAGCAGCCGCTGTGACTCCAGGAACTGATCGTTGGCACGTTGCCAAGTGTGTTTCAGCTGATTGTGCTGTTGTCGCTCCAACTCCAACAGGTGAACCACTGGAAGATAAGCCAAACTGGGCGTCACTCAACGGAAATCAACTGACTATGTACTCGGAATGGGATATAAAGGCCTCTAGCCTATCACGGCTCTACAGTACGAGCATTTCACTCACATTCGCAAGCGAAAATTACTGTGTGAATGTGAAAAAAATAAAAATTTTGGTGCATATGTGCAAGTGACACCTGATCAAAATGCATGATGTAAAACACCTTCAGCACAAACTAATGCATCTAACCTTATACCGAATAAACTAAATTTTACATTTGAATTGAGTTTATTACTATATAAGTTAACGGAAAAAGCATGCTGCTGTGTAGAGGAGTGTTCACACAGGATGCATTTGTTCTCTTTTTTGTGCGACTGACACCATGCGGAGTTAAATGCTGAGTTTAAAGACAGTGTCAAGTTAAAAATAGTTTAACTATTAAAAACATGTCTTGAGATCTTGCGTTCTGTTTCTGAATGCAAAAACACATCCTGTATGCACTTCCTGATATGACACTAAGGTGTAGTATAGTGCAAACTGCAATGCTTGTCAATAACTAATACAAAGCTATTGTTAAGTGTTATGACTACATATTATCCGTTCAAAAGTTTTGGATCGGTAAGATAAATGTAAAAAAAAAAAAAAAGAAAGAAAAAGAAAAATGGTAATATTGTGAAACATTTAATTATTTTAAATTACATTGTAATTTAAAATATATTAAGAATGACATTTAAAATAAATGTTTTCTATTTGAATATATTTTAAAATGTAATTTAACGTAATTTATTCCTGAAAGCTGAATTTACAGCAGCCATAACTCCAGGCTTAAGTGTCACATGACCCTTCAAAAATAATTCTAATATGCTGATTTGGTGCTTAAGAAACGTTTCTTATTATTATGAATGTTGATAACGGTTATGCTTCTTAATAGGATTTTTTAATGAATCTTTAATGAATTCTTTAACGAAGGAAGTTCAAAAGAACATCACTTGTTTGAAATAGAAATTTTGTAACATTTTAAATGTCTTTACTGTCACTTCGTATCATCTTAATGCAGCCTTGCTGAATACAAGTAGTAACTTCTTTATAAAACAAATATACATATATAAAGCCCAAAATAACCCTAAACGATAGAAGAAAAAACAAAACAAAAGAGTAATAATTAAAAGATTTTTTTTTTAAACATTTAGCATACATCAACTGTATCTTATATCAGTGCCTGCTAGGACATATGCTCTAACTTGCAGTTAAAAGTGAGTAAATAAAATAAATAAATGAAACTATACATAATATGCGGCAAACTAAAATTACCAATCAATAAACCAAAATAAGAAGAACATGTAAAATTACATAGTGTCAGAAAAAAAAAAACATACAGTGTTCTATGAAAATAAAATGTTTGCATAACAGTATTTTGGTCACATACCTTCATGTAGTTCTTTCCGAAGTTTTTCTGCGTCCTCTTGAAGGACAGATTTCTGGGTGTTGAGGACAGCAACATACATCTCCAAGTCTGTTCGGCATGATTTCTCAGCCTCCAGGACGTGATTGAGCTCCTTCACCTGGGAATTAACCAAGCACATGTTTCTAACTTTGTTTTTCATGATTAAAAGCATCCATAAACAGAGGCCTTCTTCACACAACCTTTACACTTCAGCGTCAAACAGCTGACTCAAAATGAACATTTTATGTTTGAAAATAAACCTTTCAACTTTACTACTGACTGAGATGATGGCTGCTGGATCATTGACTTCTACCAGCTTTTACAAGACTCAACTGATTTATTACTCATTCCTAGAGTCAAAATAATATCACAGTCATAATCATAACTAAAGGCTGTAATGTCATACATATACTGCCCTACAAAGGCAAAAGACCTTAACACGCTAGAGTGTGAAACTGAGAAAAATTACTTTAAAGATTTTTATTTGTCCAGACAAATTAATTATAGATAGGACACTGGAAATCTGGGAGTTAGATGTTTTAGTAATGAAAATTATCTACATAAAAAAATTTGAGCTCAAACTTGATTTTTACTCCTGTTTTGAAGTTACTGTACTCTGCCTTTGCATTGTCGGCAAAAAGTGAGAAGTCACGCCAATTAGGCAAAAAGGCCTATTGTTATATACAATTATTACATACATTATATACAATATTTGGTTCCTGATCACAATTTACAAAATCATTAGTAACACCTGTATAAAATCTAGTGATCAAGGCTGTTTCATAGGCTATAACATACAGTAATGTGACTGTATTCATTTTTTTTTTTTCTGATCGTAACAATCAGATAAAAAGTTAAACGTGAGTGGATACCGTTTTGCAACCAATTTATTTGCAATGTTCACTAACATTAAAGGATGCAAGACATAATGCTTAGAATGCTTGTGGATTTAACATCTCCGATGACGTTCACTGTCATGGATTTTATCTGGTTACAAGAAAATGTAGGATATGGATTTAATTGCGAACTGTTTCTACTGATTTTGTGAGATCATGCTACGCTTTCACGGCATTCGAGTCCACGCGCGTGCAGAAGTGGGCAGCCCCAGACTGACATGCTGGCACTGAGAGAATAATCTGCATTATAAAAAGAAAGAAAACGTTTAAAGAGTATTTACGATTAATTATTGTTGCCAAGTTATCTAGTCTTTTCTTGTTTACAGTGCTTTGTTAAATGGAGCAGTTTGGTAGATCGCGATCTGTCGGCAATTTTTTAGACAAACGAATTAGATAGATGTATGAAATAACACAAGCTACACCGTAATTTAAACACGGCAGACTTTAATGGACAGTAAAACAAAGGCAGAGCACCGTAACTCAATTTGAGCGTTCCAAAACAAAGTCAAAGAGCGGTAAATGGTGTTATACGGTATTCTGCCGTAGTTTCTCCTGAGCTTTTAGAAGTTACTGTTAAGATAACCCATTATTTTCTCGAAAAAAACAAAACAACGAAATTGACTCAAGATATTTATCCACATGATAAAGGAGGTCTTGAATGTCTCAAAAATATCAATAACTAATTTTCGACCAAAACGAAGTTACAGTCTTTTGCCTTTGCACGGCAGTATACACCCATGATTCTTTTGCCCAGGCGTGAAAATTTTCTATTCAAGAGGTCATGACAACCACATGAAAGGAACTAAATGACATAGAAATGAGTCACATCTAATAATATATCTGAACAAAACAGTCTGGCTCTCAGTTCCACTTTTTTGATGCACGTCTAACCTTCGCTGCCTCGAGTTCCTTAACTCGATCTTCTGAGCTTGACAGTTTGGCCTTCAGCGCTGCAATCTCACTCTCCATTGGCATCACCACCGAGCGTAGCTTCTCTGCGTCCTCCTGAGCCTAGATTAATACAAACCCATGCTTGCTAAACGCACCCAGTACCAACATGATGCAAACACTCTGGCTTTGAGTCACGATTCAGAGAAAACGGCTGTGCATTATCTCTTTCACAGTTCAGGGAAGTAAAAGGCTAAAAAGTAGCCACATCAAAAAGCAATTCTGACCTTCTTCATCTCGTTCTCTAAATTCTCCTCCTCCTGTCCCTCAGAGAGACGGCGGCGGAGCTCAGCTATCTCTCGCTCCACCCCGTCGCGGTACTGTGCCCACTGAGCGCGCTCCTGCTCCAACTTCTGCTGGAACTGCAACTTAACTTCCCGATCTGCATCTGAACATGCACGTCAAGATAAGGACTTATGCATCAAACGGAAAGCCTCATGAACACAATTTACATTCACGGGCAGAGATCAAAAGTAGAAATCTTGCTAATCCTTCCTTGCCTGGATAGGGTTCATTAATGCCGTTAACGATTTAACAAGGCTTACACTGAATCTGAACTCACACACGCACTGCAGACTTCTGTCTCTACACATCATGTGTTCCTCAAATGTTCATTTATTAAATATATTGGCTAATATACTGTAAAAATACATTCAGCGACTAACATGAGTGAAGTGCATTTAACACATTTTACTGGAGACAGACTAATTATCGGTATGTTCAGCAGTGCTTAAATATTAGGTAACACCTCTCAAAACTGTATACAGGCACATAACTAAAAACATACTCGTATGATCACCAAGACTGTATCTATCTGATCAAAAATACAATTAAAAAAAGTAATATTGTAAAATATTATTACAATTTAAAATAATAACTTAATATATTTTAAAATATAATTTATTCATGTAATGGCAAAGTTTTTTTTTAAACTAAAACTATTAAAAACATTTTTGTTAATTGAAGTAAAGCTAAAATAAAATGAAATAAATATTAGATGAAAAAAAATGTTTTAATGTTGTCCTGGCAGCTAATTAACATAAGTAAATGTATTAACTGGAAATAAATAAAAACTAAAACTGAACTAAAGCTAGAACTGAAATAAAAATAAAAAAACCTAAATAGTAACATTTAGAAAAGCTAATAATAAAAGACAAAATTACGTAAGATACATAACATTACTAAAAATTTAGATAAAACTGAGATAGCAAAAAAATAAAACAAAAGAACAGCATCTATCTGAAATAAAAATCTTGTATAAAGAATAAAATAAAAGTATTGCTGAATAAAAGTATTTCTTTCTTTAAAAAAAAAAAATAATAAATTACCGACCTCAAACTTATGTAGAACTAGATAATATGAAAAACAGCAAAAAATAGTGCCAAATTGTAAGTTATTTTATACCCATGGTTTCTTCTTAAACGCAGTGGCGTGATGGCATTGAAGGGTGCTCTCTTTAATTTGCTGCTTGCAAAATGTATTTCACTTTGTATTATTACTCAAAGCAGTATTAGTCTTGTCGCACAGCAGTTCAGTCACCTTCAGGATAGTGATGAATGATTTAGTTACCGTTCCAAACAGCAGAAATGGAACAATAAATAAAAAGCGGTTCAGCGTATCGGTTATCAGACACTTTAGCATGAAAATAATCAGTATCTTATTACCTTTCATAATAGCCTGCAGTGACGCCACCTCTTCCTGCCACTGCTGCTTGACCTGGTCGATGGCTTCCTGCTTTGTGCTCTCAGAGATAGTGGCAACCGCTTTGATGGTCTCCATCTCTGTTTTAGCCTCGGTCAGCTGCGTCTGCACACTGCTCAGCTCTGCCTGGGCCTTGTCCAGTATAGCAGCCTGCCTCTTCAGCTCCTCTGAGATATTTACAGGACAAGAACAAAGGTTTATGTAGAGGAACCGACAGCTTCAGTTCTGTAAGGCCACTAGCATCTGTTTCACTATCACAGCATGTCCTTATTATGACGTTTTATAAACTTTAGTCAAGTTGATAAAACGTCATAATGAGGACATGCTGTGATAGTGAAACATGGGTACAAACATAATTGGAATCTGTTTGCACCCATATTAATTACTGTTCCACTTGTGATCAGATCAGCCGAGACATTTGCCGAGATCCCTGCTAACATTGTTAGAAAAGTCTTGAAATGTATCTGGCTTAGTAGTTTCATCCTGCCCCAGGACAGATTCACTATGAAATAAAGATCTATGATGACGGCTGAACTGTTTGTTTGTTGTTCAGTCTACTGTATCTATGTGTGCATCCAGGCACAATGTGTAATGGATGTGTTACACGTCTACTGAAAGGATGAGAACTGAAAGAATTTGTTTTCCCTTTAAAACTGCATGTGATGATGAACTACACCTCTGCTAGGACACCTTTGTGAACTTCATACATCCAACAAAAAAACAAAAAAAGAAACAAATAAAAACAAAAACATAAAATAAAACAAACAAAAAACACAAATAAACTACAAAAACACAAATAAATAAAAACTACAATAAAAACACAAACTAAAAACAAACAAGCAAGCAAGCAAATCTAAAAACAAATATTTTCAATAAACAAAAAACTTTTTTCTGTATCTTACTGGTCCATCGGCAGATATTTTAAACAATATATTACCTTCTTTAGACAGATAGAGTTCCTTAAATTTGGCCCGCTTCTGGTTGAACTCCATCTCCAGCTGTTGTTTGAGCTTCAGGAAGTCGGTTCGATCCTGCTCCTGCTCGGCCGCGTGCTGCTGCAGAACCCCTGCTGGAGCAATCAAACATCCATCAGTGCCACACATTCACAAAAATCTACACCTCCAACCTCAGAAAGTAGGAATGCACGATTAATTGAAATTAAATCGCAAAGGCGATAAATCGAGATCAGGCAGAAGCTGCGATTGTCATGCGCATCTTTCAGTGAAGCACGGTTCTGTGATCAGTAGTAAATCTCCATCCGAAGGCCAGAGGGCGCTCTCACACGGAAACGCTAAAAACGCCTCGCAGAAGAAACACAGGAAATGCCTATAGTGGTTGTTGAATAAACAGAATATTTAACTGCTTTCATTGATTCAACGTGACTAATAAACACACGACTACGACAATATATGGTTTATCTGAGTTCGTCTTATTATAATTTTCATTATAATAAAGTATATAATAATACAATGCTAATCGACATAGCCTTTATCACAGCTTAGAATACTATGAAATATGTTGCGTGCTAGGGGTGTGCCATATCATACCGTCCACTGGCTTGATAATGATAATACGGGTATAATTTTTTACATGATAAAAAAGTGCCATATCGCGATATCAATGATATAGCGACATGATGACGTATGGCGGATATACGTTCCCTAGCGCGCACAACAACAACGCCACAAACCCAATAGGTGTGTTCGACTTGAAGCAGCGCTGCGCAGACTGATCGGTGTATGACATTAAAGTATTGCGAGAGCGATTCTAGAGCATATTCGAGCACACACTCTTACCTTCAAAAATAGGCGAGGCGCATATCTTTAGTGAAGCGGCGTGGAGAGCCACTTCTGGGACGCTTCTGAAACGTGCCGTGGCTCCACTGGTGTAAACACAAGCATTGACTAGAGTGGCCGCGTCGGAGCCGTAAAGGCTACTTATACTTACGTAAAGTATACTTCACTTTCTGCGTTCCGTTACGTCTCGCGCACAGCCGCACTACTTTCAGAGTATACTCAACCACGGATGAGCGCGGACGGACGAGCTTGACACATATGCGCAGTACCACCTGCTCTTTTAGCTGCAATCACCAATAAAACGTTGTTCCATGTTTTTTTTTATTTTTTATATATATCATCATAAATATCGTTATCGCAAATATTCTTGAAATATCGTGATATAATTTTGAGGCTATATCGCCCACCCTATTCTGTGTAAGAAACCACATCATCTCACAGAAGGATTTATTTCAAACACTCAACTGACATTATGAAGTGAGTTTGGAGTAAAAACATGTTATTAAATGTGGTATTTTCACGTGCTTTTAGATGGAGCAGCATTTACTACACAGAGCCGTAGTTCACTGACAAGCTACGCAAACAGCTTTCATAATCGCAGAACAAATAAAATAAAATATAAATACAGATGTCTTTAATTCAATTAATGCATCCTTGCTGAATGAAAATATTAATAAAAAAAAAATCTTACTGACCCCAAACATTTGAGCTGTAGTGTATTTTTACTAATTTCAAGCATATAAAACTTTAGTCCAATGAATAATTAAAAGACAGCTGACATTCTTTGGAGTTCACATGTTGGGAATTTTATTTGGGACAACTTGGATTCTCATTCACTAATCAAACATGTCACGGCCCTCTTTTGCTCTTTGGACCTTTACACAAACTACTTTGAGTTCTTACTGAGGTTCGGTGCAGTAGAGAGGCTTTTCAAGTGTTATAAAATATCTCTTTTTTTCCCAAACATGTGATAAACTCCATGGTCAGCAACCAAAGACTACAACTATTATGAGCCCCATGACATTTTACTGCTTAGAATTTCATTACTTTGGAGAAAAAATTACATTTAATAGATAAAAACAAATATAATAATAGAAATGACTATATGAATGAGATTATGTTTTGTTCTTTTTACTGCTGTAGCACAGATGCTTCATTTAATCAGAGCCACAGATGATGTGAATAAAGCTTCAGCTTGATTAAAAGCCAAATTAATTTAAATACATAGGTCAGTCAACCCAGAATATGTCAGGACAGATCATACATCTCTATTGTTGGTTTTTACTTTAATTAGGCCTAAATACGTTTGTACACACAAATATGCAGTACAAAGTGCAGCAAGTGTCTGTCAGATCTGTAAAAGACAACTACACCCACAGCAACCACAGGCCTTCAGGGATGACAGATGGCTATTTATCTGAACTTAACCTACACCAAAAATGTAGCTCAACGGGATCGAAGCAGCATGTGCATAGAGTAGACTTAATTGAAAATAATTGTTTCCATTAAATATCATGAGTGTCATACCTGACAGTATTAAAGGAATACTTCACACAAATAAAAAAAAGAAAATTTGCTCATCATCAGGCCATCTCAAATGTAGATGAATTTGATTCTTCGTTGTAACAGATTTGGAGAAATTTAGCATTAATTTACATCACTTGCTCACCAATGGATCCTCTGCAGTGAATGGGTGCCGTCAGAAAGAGTTCAAAGAGCTGATAAAAACATCACAATAATCCACAAAACTCCAGTACAACAATTAAATTCTAGTAGAAAAAAAACTGGGTGTTTGTAATTTTAAAAAATCCATCAATAAGACATTTTAACTTCAAATCATTGCTTATGGCTAAAATATAAGTCCTCTATAATATTGTTTTCTACAGTGAAAAAGCAGTCTTGTCTGAATCAGGAGAGAAATTAACACAGATCAAGCACTGTTTAGCGAAAACAGTCCCAAAACAGTTCTAAACAAATATGTGGATGGATTTTGATGTAAGAGGGCAACACTGGATGGACTTTTTCACTGAAGGAGGCATTATTATGTATTATGGACTATGGATTATTATGTATTTGTCCAGAAGCAACAGTTTAAAGTAACAAAAAAAAAAAAACGTTTCTTACAAATACACAGCTTTTGGACTGGAGTTGTGTGGATTACTTTTTGATTAAAAACATCACAATAATCCACAACCCTCATTCTGGCACCCATTCACTGCAGAGGATCCAATGGTGAGCAACTGATGTAACGCTACATTTCTCCAAATCGATTCAGATGATAAAAGAAACTGATCTACATCTTCTGGCCTGAAGGCGAGTGAAGTTTCAGCAAATTTTCATTTTTAGGTGAACTATTCCTTTAATGCACTGCAGGAGCGTATTTACTATCTACAGCACACACCCATTCACTGCAGAGGATCCAATGGTGAGCAACTGATGTAAATGCTACATTTCTCCAAATCGGTTCAGATGATAAAAGAAACTGATCTACATCTTCTGGCCTGAAGGCGAGTGAAGTTTCAGCAAATTTTCATTTTTAGGTGAACTATTCCTTTAATGCACTGCAGGAGCGTATTTACTATCTACAGCACACAAAAGACAAAGAAGATATATGACATCACAGAACTTTTTTTTCTTTTTAATCCACTATCGGTACATCCAATCATAAACTGGGTCTTTAATATTGCTCATATTTCGCTTAAAATGTTTAGAGTAGACTTGCAACATTTACCATAGTATTATAAAAGGTACAATAAGACCTTTACAAGTATTTCACACAAAAAAATTAAATAACATAGCACTTTTTGTTAGTGCATGCCATGGTAGTACTTATGTGGCATATACATTAATGCATGGCTAAAATCAATATGTACATCAAAACACTGTATAAATATAGATGCATGCGAATGACGCCATCATCTGAACAACATTACAAACAAGAACAAGCAGACATGATAATCAATGACTTGAAATATATAAAAGCAAACCCGTCTGTCCTGATACTCTTAAACACTGTCAGTCTAGCTGTCATCTGCTGGTGCAACATCATCATGTTGACCATATAAACACGCTTTTGTGTAACGTTACCTGTAGACCAGCAGAGCCAATGCTTGGTGCAAGAAGCGTTCTCTCAGAAGCATCGACACATAGCAAGCATGAAAGCATCATATGAGTGTTTTCATAAATAGGCAAAGCTCGTTGTCAGCCGGTTGACTGTTGCTTGCTAATCCGTGCACGAACAGGCCACAGGCCTACAACGAGCACAGCTAAATCAGCACGATAAACTTCTCCTTGTGGTGAAAGACGCTTACCGTCATGTTGAGGCGGCCGGGTGGATCCCGAGGCCTGCTCGGCCATGGTTTCCCGGAGCTGAGTTTAGAAAAGCGGCTCACTGAAGGAAAGAGAGGAGCGCCCAACAGAACAGGTTACCGGAGACTGAGCAACGTCATTGTAGAAATAACACGCACTGCGCATGCGCGCACCGAATGGGCGGAGCTGCCGTCAGTAACTGATAAATTAATGATTAATAAACAACGCAGAAAGACTTTGCTTAATGAATTTGACATTATGTCTGCGTTATCTATATTTATTTATTTTATAAATGCACTTTTATCTGTACTGTTTGTACTGTATATGTGTCTTGTTTATTATTCATTTATTAATATACCAGTTTTAATAAATAAATGAATGAATAATTCACTGAATATTCAGATGAAACCCACTACACCACAAGAATAAATAAATAAATAAATAAATAAAAAGATCAGCAATTTGACCATGGCACTATACTACAATTACGCACAACCAAGCAAGCAACAAAACCAATCAAACATACCACAATAAATAAACAAATAAATACATGAATTAATAATTAACTGAATGCACATCATGCACTATACCATAATAAACCAATCAACCAACCAACAAATAAAAAAAAAATGCTGAATGTACAGCCAGAATACCCACTACACCACAATAAATAAATAATCAATCAATCGATCAATCGCAAGGAACAAATTACTAAAACTTGCTTTGTTCACGTGTATTCCTAAGTGTTAGGACTTCGTTTAATAAAGAAGAGACCATGACTGCTACCAAACATGAGACTGATTCAGTTATTTGCAGAATAGCACCATCTCTCTGTCTCTCTCTTGAGTTCAACTCCCCACAGCACACTAAAAAACACAGTCGATTCACAACTAACAATATACTTCTGAGATGCAGAGTCCTAAGGCTTACGTTGACCATAATAAACAAATAAACAAACTCATGAATAATTCACTAAAACTTTTAGCGGCCACACCCACTATACCACAATAAATAAATAAACAAATCAATCTCTGAGGCCACACCCACTGTAGACATGTAGAAGCCCCTTTTGTGATGACAGCGAATTGCAAGTCTAGATTCAGTTCTCTGCAAAATAGCAGAAGTTTTACACCATCCTTCAGTCTCTCTTTCGAGTTCAACTCTCCACTACTAAAAAAAACCACACATGTATAATTGACTGACAACACACGTCTGAGTCACATAGAGACCTACAGCTTATGTGGAAAGACGGCTGGGCAGAGAGATCTGCAAGTTCTGAAGAATTTAATCATATATTTAAAATTCCCAGATGTTTGCGACACTTCTATAATTGCCATTTTCCAGATCATGTGCAAGGCTGATGTGATCTATACTGAAGACCAAGGTAATTATGTTTCATCCCATTTTTTTTTTATTTTCACTAACACATGTGAACAGCCATTATAAAACTAAACAAGATTATAAATTAATAGCAATTCCAGTGTGATGTAGAATACAGAAACACATCATTACAGTAATGTATTGGTTAAGTTTGTCAATCTAAAAGATTCTTTAATATTGTTAAAACCAGTCTAAGATCTGAAATCCATTGAGTATGTGATCTACTATATTTCCTTTACAGTACACAATATTGCTTTACTTTATTTCCTTTTTTTAATTGTTTTGGATTTTGGATTGTGTGAGTCTGCACTGAACGATTCAATTTATGAATAACGGTCTACTCTCTAATTCTGTTTGGGAAAATATTGTACATTATTAAAATGATTAAAACACTGAGCTATTAAAATAAATGAATTTCAAAACTAAAAAGGTAAATGGAATGAGATGCATTAGGTCGCATTGTATAAGCCAGTGCTAATAAAAGAATGACGCAGGAAGTCAGTTAATCATGTAAAGCTTGGTATCTTGCAGGATGAGTGCTATGAGCATGATAGAGACATTGCTACAGAGATAGATCTGAAATATTACAAATGAAAAATGACTGTATTCATTCCCACATATGGATTCGTTTTCTAGCATTACAAGTAGCTTTTAGAAGCATATTAAACAAACATTCTTAAACATTCTCCACCCAGGAAACACAGCTGACTGGAAAATAAGAAACTTCAAGCATGTGCCTGAACAGTGCTGAAAAGAAGAAGTAGCAGGAGTTTCAAGTATGTTATTAACTAAATATCCTTATCTAATAGTGATATATCATAGAATCTGAACATTTTCTATGTTTCATTTCCCAGATGGAGTTTTTACGTCAGTACTTCTGGCCATCATTACTTCTGGCCATCATTCTGGTGTCTCTGGTGATAGTAATGATTTTCATAATCATCAATGTTTGCATCAGTAAAAGAGGTAAAATACATCTGGAAAAAACTATACAGAAACTGTGTTCAACTTGGTTAATTATCACACTTTTTACTGTGGTCAATTTAATTAATACTTCCAATACTATTGCCCAGGAAAAAGTTGTAGTTCATTTACATTTACATTTAGTAATTTAGCCGACGCTTTTATCCAAAGCGACTTACAAATGAGGACAATAAAAGCAGTCAAAACTAACAAAAGAGCAACAATACACTGTAAAAAATTATTGTGATTTTAACAGTAAAAGACTGTAAAAATGCTACATTAAAAACCTGTGAATTGGTTATCAGTAACTTTCCATACTATATACGGTGAATAGCTGTAATTACATTTAATGTAATTTTACAGTAAAATACTGTTAAAATTACGGTTTTTGGAAGTGAAAAAGAAAAAGTCGTTGTATAATTTACAGTGAAAATACATAAACATTATAAATGTACACATTTAACATTAGTGTAAACATTTAACGCCCATTAACTCCATGTTTACAGCTATTGTAAAAAAATAAAAAAATAAAAAATATCAAAGAATTCCCAAATATGATTAGAATTTAAAAGGGTTTTGAACTAAATGTTTGGAGCTGACATTCAGCTGCAGAAAACAACCTTCTGTGTCATTTCGCATAACTGGACTCAAAACCATACTGAAAAATAGGCTTTGTGGCCATTGGTCTAGTCATTATAAAGCAGTTTGAATGTTGTATACCACTTTTGTTTGATTAATTTTATTTAACATTTGTCATTTCAATCCTTCAATCTTTGTTTCCTCTTTTTCTAGCTGCTTGGTACAGTACACAAGCAAGACCAAATCATTATAATGACACACATTTTAAAAAGCAGTAAGTCTGTCAGGCTCACTTAAGACTAGATGTTTATTACACAAAAATGTGCTACACTCTAAAATAAATGACTTTTTTCATTACAGGAACAACCAAGTTCATCACAAAGACCTTGAGAATGAGAAACCACCCTTACCTCCCAGGGATCAGTTCAAATCCATGCATTCTGGTCAGTTTCGTTTTTATACTGTATATTATCATAGATGCTTTAATTTACGTAACTCTATGACACACATACCCATTTTCTTTCATGAGCAAAAATATTCATGAAGAAGATAAATAAAAGGCCTTTCTTGAAGTCATTTACCTTTAAAATATGAAATCAAACCTCCAGTTTTGTGGCTTTCTGTCCATGTGTGTCAGGTCAATAGCATACTCCTAAACATTGGCAAAATGATCTTTTAGCAGATGTACACATTTAAAATTGACAGTTTCTCCAGGAAAACTGATCAAAATATTGATGCCTCATGGCACTTTCAGGGCCGTGTCCAATTGTTTGTCTAATCAAATCACATTCTCTCTAATGAGAATGCCTTCCCTCAATAGACCTTAGTCAGGGCAGCCCCATATTTCATTTTTGACAGGAATAAAATTGAGGCCGTGACCGTGAGGAACAGAAGTACAGTATGTTCATTGGATTGTACTGTTGTTTAACCACATACTGATTGTTCAACTGACAAAACGTCTTTCTGAAAAACTTTCAATAGACAAAAACTCCATAAAATAGTGAGTTGGCGAAAATTACGTGACCTTTATAGAGTGTGTGCCATTGTAAAGACTCGAAGTCTATCCCTCACAGCCTCGTTTTTATCCGCGTAAAAGGGATCGCCCAAAAATGAAAGTTTTGTCATCATTAACTCGCCCTCATATTATTCCAAACCGGAACTTCCACAGTATTTTCCCCAATACTATGGAAGTCAATGGCTACCGTCAAAAGAGCTCGTATAAGTTTGGAACAAGAGTGAGTAAAGGATGATAGAATTTTCATTTCAAAACTTGCTTTTTTAAATCAACTACGCCTTCTAACCTGACAACCTGCCTCTGAATCGCAAGTAGTATTTATTGTCTTATTCATAAAAACACAAGTGTTACAATTTACTGCACTTTATTATTATTCTTCTTATTTACCGACTAATCAATCTGAAGTCTTGCAAATTCACAGAAAATAGCTTACTTCCACATTTCAAAATGATGTGGATAGGATAAATGCTTTTCAGACCTCTCTCTCTGCATATTACCACAAGCAAACAGAAATGTAAAAAGTTCAATATCATATCTGAATTTCCAGTGGATCAGAGTTATGAGGATTTGGAGCCCGTGTCAGACTATGTGGAGGTTGAGGATGAGTCAAATCCCCCTGCGCCCCAACAACCCACCTTCACGCCACACTATGCCACCATCGAGACTAAAAGTCAAGACCAAGACGCTGTCTCTGAGGATTATGATGATGTTGAAATCCCTGCTAACGATGACAGTGAGGATGATGATGACATAGGATAAAAGACAGGAACCATTACTTTCCCTTCAGCTGGACACATGAGCGGACCCAGAAATCAACTATATGTTTCCTACAAACTACTATTGTACATTATTTGAGCAGAAACAAGTTCTAATAGCATGTAAACTAATACAAGTGTGTTTACTTTCATATAAACCAATCTTTCACTTCCCATTGTTAGAAATGCAATACATCTTCCAAAAATGTCATTTGATTTGTCATTTTCTGTTGAAGCACCACGAGACATTTGTGTGGAAGAGATTATGCAAGTTCAAAGGATGTTGAGAAATGAGAAATATCTAAATATATATATTACATCGTATACTTATAAATGATGCTTGCACTTGCAAATTTCATGTCTGATACTACAGTATACGTTATTTTTTATTCCTGTGAATCTATAACAAAAAGCTTTTTGGAAAAGAAAAACAACACACAAACAAGCAGTACTCTGAAACTTTTTTCATACATTTATTCTTTAAAAAAAAAGAAGTAAAATGGTGACTATTAATAGATATTTGTCTTTCACAGCTGCTCGATTTGTAATCGCTGTTGTTCAGGGCAGCAACAGCAACATATCAAAAGTCAGTTCTTTTTTTAAACCCATGTCCACAGTCAGAAGAGCATTATGGGCCTTGCAGATATTTCGAGGCGTATGATTTTCGTGCACACAAACTACAAGTCTGTCTCTTGCTCAGTGAGTGCAGCTCCTGTTCTTTTGTACACAAGAGAAACAAGTCGAAAGAAGAAGATTTTACTTCTCTTGCTCTCAGAGATGTCCATTAAACGGCAGGCACATGGGGGCTGAGACTAACCTCCTAGTCGCTGACCCTCACCCCAGGCAAAACCTCCTGGACGGTCCTCAGGGATAGGGTCGTAGTTTGCATCTTCCTCAGGTGTATCAAACAGCATCTTACTGGAAAGTTCAAAAAAGGGATGTTTACTTCAAAGCAAAGCCTTTATATATATATATACACATACATATAAAGTGGTGTGAAAAAGTTTCACACAGGGCCATGTAGTTTTGGATTTTGTTTTCCCTTAAT